TCCCAGAATGACCACCAACTGGGAACTCTTTGGTACTATTGCGGCAACATGGGAAGATGCCATTGTTGACAACATTGATGAGGAATACGATCGACTGGTTCAGCACCTCCATGAATGTGCGAGGAACGCCAAGAGAGAGATAGCCACAAAAAAATCGCCTATCTTCGAAAACTCTTGAGCTAATTCGCCAGCGTGGTTTGGCGCATGCCTCAGGCACCCACAAGCTAACGTCCGAGCTCGCAAAGCAGTGCAGAGATGCGATCAAGGAAGACCTCAAAGAGAGAAGAGCAGAAGTACTGGTAGATGAGGCAGAAGCCAGGAAAAGTATTCGTAACACCCGCCTGTCCTTCGCCAACTACAAGACCAAGATGACTGCCCTCCGACATCCTGATGGATCCATCACATCCTCCAGAATGGCAATGGAGAAGATTATCCATGACTTCTACTCAAATCTCCTCGATAGCCATGTCCACTTGCCGACATACCAAATTCCACAGGATGGATATGTCGTTCCCAATGTTCTCCCTTCCGAAATCCGACATGCCATTTCGTCGGTAAAGAAACAAACAGCACCCGGCGCAGACAAGGTCAGACCTGAAAACCTGAAGAACCTGCCGTCAGTACTCATCAATACACTGGCTCGGCTCTTCACTCGCTACCTGTCTGAATGCAAGGTTCCGTCCCAATGGAAAACCAGCAGGACCGTACTACTGTTCAAGAAGGGAGACATCCATGACATTGGCAACTATCGCCCGATCTGCCTATTGTCTGTCATCTACAAGTTGTTCACTCGAGTCATCCTAAATAGGATTGGCAGAACACTAGATGAAGGACAACCATGCGAGCAAGCCGGGTTCCGCAAAGGATTCAGCACCATCGACCACATCCACACGATAACCAAGCTCATTGAGGTTTCTTGGGAATTCAAGATGCCGCTCTGTTTAACGTTCATTGATTTAAAGAAGGCCTTTGATTCTGTTGAGACGGAAGTGGTCATTGAAGCCCTAGCCAATCAGGGCATTCAAGCCCAATACATCAGGATCCTCCGTGAGCTGTATTGCGGATTCACTACCAGGATCTCACCATTCTACAAAGAAGTGATCATTGATGTCAAGAGAGGGGTGCGGCAGGGTGATACCATTTCACCGAAACTCTTCATTGCCACCTTCGAGAACATCATGCGACGACTGGAATGGGAAGGAATGGGAGTGAAGATTCGGCAACTACACCACCTCCGCTTTGCTGATGACATTGTTTTAATAACACCAAACATCAGCCAAGCGGCACAAATGCTGGCCGACTTTGACCGTGAGTGTGGAAAGGTAGGACTACAGCTGGATCTTACAAAGACAATGTTTATGAGAAAGAGCCTCGTTCCTGACGCCCCATTCGCTCTCAACGGAATGACCAATCTCCGAATGCAACAGCTATGTGTGCCTAGGTCGAGAGGTCAACATGACAAATGACCTGGCACCCGAGCTGCGCAGGAGGAAGAGAGCGGCTTGGAACGCCTTCAAGAACGTCAAAAAAATAGCTAAGAGGACGAAGAACCTCCGGCTCCGGGCACATCTCTTTGATTCAACTGTTCTTCCTGCATTAACTTATGCCTCAGAGACCTGGGCCCTACGCAAACAAGATGAGAACGCTATTCAGGTCTCCCAAATAAGAATAGAAAGAGCTATGCTTGGAATATCACGTTTCACTCAAATGAGAGAAAGAATCCGGAGTTCTGACATCCGTCGACGATCAAGAATCAGGGATGCTGTCTCATTTGCCAAGGTGTCGAAACTCAGATGGGCTGGTCACATAATGAGATTTAAAGACGACCGCTGGACTAGAGCTGTTACCAACTGGATTCCACGGGATGTCAAAAGACTGCGTGGCCGCCCACCTACCAGATGGTCAGACTTCTTCGTCAAGATCATGAATGATCGGTTTGAGGCCCTTCATGTTCCTGGAGCGAAGAGATGCCATTGGGCTACACTAGCACGCGACAGGGACAAATGGAGACGTTACTGGCGCCCGCTCAAGCAAATCGACGACTAACGGGAAGTTAAGTGATTAAGTGATGAATGTGGGTGTGTGTATTGAACCTCTGAAGCTCACTTGTGAAGAAAAGCTACAGAAGCTAATTCCATTTTAGGATTTCTTTGCCTTAGAGAGACTTGTCTGTTTAGTGAATTAGAAGAAAGTACTCTCTCTCTTAGTGGAGGCCATATCTAGCAGTATTTGATGGCTACTCTTGGGTTTAGTGTTCCAATTGGTGCTTGGGGTGCCTCATGATTCCAGACTGACCCCTGGGGTCCCGCTTGCTAAGCATGTGCTCCAGCCCTTTGAGCTATCTCCCCAGTCCAGGAGATATTCTCATTTGCATAGTTCTACTTAAAGTTCCCAGATGCTGTCAAATATGCATGGGCTTACAAAAAAAGTCCCAACTGTTCATCTAGGTACTTATTTTCTGGTTGGCTAATGGAAACCAGAAAAGAATAAAACATTGTTATATATATATATTTATAATTTATTTATTTATTGAATCACTGTGGGAAAAGTTACAGAGCTTTCAGGTTTAGGTCTCAGTCATGTAAATATCAAACACATTTCCCTTTACCAATACTTATTTTTTACCACGAACCCCAATAGAACCTCACCTCCTACCCCTCCCAATTTCCTGTGAAGCAGATGAGTTCTAGTTAACACTCTATCTACTTTGACTAGATTCATTGTTTCGATAAAAGATGCACCATTATTATTTAGAGTTTACCACCCCCGCCCCCAAATCAGACATGCTGAAAAAGCGTTGTAAAATGATTTGCTTTCTACATCTGGGTTCAAGAATTAAATGTTGTTAAAGGTTAAAGGTTTTGGATTTCTGCTACTTTACTTACTAACCCTGGAAGTATTTCTACTAAAAGTTAAATAATTAAGAGATTGGTTTCTGTGCTCTGGAGTCGTGGTCGTGCCGGAGAGCCGCTTGTGGGGGGCAACTGGTGACCTCGGTAGGGTGTGAAGGACGGGCCGGAACGCCCCCCTTCCCATGAGGTTTTAGTCGCCCCCGACCCCCGGCTCATACCTGCTGTCCATAAGGCTCCCATGCGGCCGCCATCTTTCTTTCCAGGGAGGAGAGGGCGAATGGGGCAACACCCTTTCCCCTCCGGGCAGGCATGATGGCCTGGATTAATGCATAGTCCGTTCACTTTTCTGCTCCAAGCTGCTGCGTTCTACATTAAGTCCTTGTGCTTCTGGGGCTGTGGCCGTGCTGGAGAGCCGCTCGTGGGGGGCAACTGGTGACCTCGGTAGGGCGTAAAGGATGGGCCGGAACGCCCCCCTTCCCATGAGGTTTTAGTCGCCCCCGAACCCCGGCTCATACCTGCTGTCCACAAGGCTCCCATGCGGCCGCCATCTTTCTTTCCAGAGAGGAGAGGGCGAATGGGGCAACACCCTTTCCCCTCCGGGCATGCATGATGGCCTGGATTAATGCATAGTCCGTTCGCTTTTCTGGAGTTGTTATATATTTTTTGATGTTAGGCCCAATTCTAAATAAATGGGGTATAACTAATTTTATTTCCTTTGCTATTTTGCTTTTCAATTTTTGATCAAAATTAAATAGAAAATGTTTATACTTTAGGATGATTTTCACCAAAATAATTTTTTTGGTGGCAATAACAGATTCCTAATACTTTTATATTAAAAAAGTCATTCAACTTATTATAGGTGACTTACAAGCAGAGGAAGTAAAAGTGATGAGTTTTACTAATGTAACTGAATGCTAAGGTAGCTTGTTTTTGACAATAAGATCTTAGTTTACTTTTTTTTTTTTTGGCTTTTTTGGGTCATGCCCCGTAATGCTCAAGGGTAACGCCTGGTGGTGCTCAGGTGACCATATGGGATGCCAGGGATTAAACCTGGGTCAGCCTCGTGCAAAGCAAACACCCTCCCCACTGTGCTGTCCCTGCATCCCCCAAGATCTTAGTTTAAAAGGTATCTTTCCAGAAAGATCTTTTGTGAGCGGTAAATTTAAGGTTACATGCTGTTCTCTGCTAGTAGGCTGTTCAGTGTCATTTTCTTAATTATTGGTGCTATCAGATATTTCCTTATTATGTTTGCTAATTGTTTCTCTTCCCTCTGTTGGAATATAAATCCCACACATTGGTTTGTTATCCCAAGCACAGAACAGTGAATACAGCAGGATACAGTATTTATTGAATGAGTGACCCCCCACTTTTTTTTCTTTGGAGGGGGCTGGTTCACACCTGGAAGTACTCAGGGATCGCTCCTGGTGATGCTCAGGGGACCATATATGGTGCTGGGATCATACCAGGTCAACTTCATGCAAAGCAGTGACCTATCCCCTGAATTGTCGCTCTGACCCCAAATGAATAATCCCAATTTTGAAAACAAATTTGTTAACCACTTACTCTAGACTCATCTGTTATTTCAATTTATTTTTTTTGTTGTCATTTGTTTTTTGAACACTTTTTTAATACCTTTTCTTATCACTGTGGATTTATTAATTGTGAATAAATTCCAATGTTTATATTCTAGTGGGAAGCAGTTCTCAAACACATAATGGAGCAGTGCTCAGTGTGAGAAGTATTATTTATTAACTAGGTTTTGGTAATAAAATGATCTGGTGGATTCCTCCCCGACCCCACAGCTTTTGTTTGCTTGCTTTTTGTTTTATTGGGGCCACACCTGGTGCTGTTTAGGGCTGTCTTCTGGCTTGGTGCTCAGGGATCACTCCTGGCAGGATGTGGGGGACCATATATGATGGGAATCAACCCCGAGTTGTCCTGTAAAACTCCTCACTCATTGCACTAACTCTCCCCTAACTTTTCTTCTTATAAAATATTTACTTTTTCAGTTGAAAATAGCAAAATATTGAAGTGCAGATACTTAGATAGCTAACGTTATATACCAACATAACAAAAAGTAAAAATAGTTAGGGACTTTATATTTACTTATGGATCCAATAAAGACATTGACATATTTTGTTTTATAGTGACACATTTTATTACAAATTTCTTTTACTTTGCACCCAATAGAAAAGAAGTTTGGAATTTATTTACAAGTACTATACATTTACATATATTATACAACTTAATGACTTTAAAGAAAAGTGGCAGAGAAACAATATATAGGGAAGAAAATGCCTCTGTACATGGTTTATTACAGGCCTTAGTGTTATTGACCCTCACTGTAGTAATAAATACAGTTCTATATTTACACATATTATAAAACATCTCATAAACGTATTTTTCAATTTCAACGTAAAACATCTGATCAAAATAAACATGCTTATATAAAAATAAATCTACCTAATCATCTTTTGGTTTGGTTGTATTGAAGCAAATGTTGGACAATAAGTTTGATTTCATTTTGAATTCACACATTAGCATTTAATAATTTTGCCTTTTAATATACCTAATGCATGCATTAAATATGGAATAGGCAGAGAAGTCATGTTCTTGACATCAGGTAGGCTGATCTAAAATAACGCAGCTAAAACCAAGCTTAATAAACTGGATAATATGTCACTAAGTCTCTGTTGAGTCCAAAATAGTTTCAGGCATGCTTGCTAGAGTTACTAGAGGAGTTATGAGAATTGGCGTCAGTGGGTTCAATTTATGTTGCATCTGCATTTGATCATGATTTTAAGATGCACATCTCTCTAAATCAACCTCCTGCAAAAGAAAGTGCACTCACCCAGAAAAAAAAAATCCCAGGTTGCTTACCATTTTTTCACGGTATTACCATTGCCAGCACGAACTTTTCTTCTGAGCTCTGGGCACCAAGCATAAAATGAATTAAGCTAGGCAAACCTCACCTGTACATGATTGCTTTAGTAGCAATTTAAGACTTTTAGTTCATGTTCCTTTAAAAATAATTGTTAGTTTAATTCCACTGTGGGTGAACCATCTAGAACTGATATCTCTGGTATTTCTGAAAATAACGTAAATACGAGTGAGTTAATAATGTCTCACGTTGTCCAGCCAGGGGTGGACCTGGAAGGACTCTTCCTGAGCAGACACAAAAGAGGACGAAAACAGGTCCGTGTGATCTTTCAAATGAATTCTTACTGATCACAACCTTTCTTTAGAAATCTAGACCACTTAGATTCAATTTTCCTAGTATTTTCCCTTATCATTTCAGGGGTTTTGAGTTTCAACCTCCTTCCTTTGGGTTACCTGCCTATCCTAAGCCCTCTTGCCCTCAACACACAACCTGAATCACCAGACTGCTGAGTTTGCAGAGAATCAATGAAAATTTGGAGAATCTGTGTCTTTGTTTTTATTTTGGGGCCACCCCGGCAGTGCTCAGGGCTTACTCCTGGCTCTGTGCTCAGGGATCACTCCTAATATTACTCAGGGGACCAAAAATGGTGCTGGGGATGGGACCTGGGTTGACTTACTCACTGTACTATCTCTCCATCCCTAGATTTTCTCTTTACTTTTCAGTAATCATAGGAATTTAGCTTTTTTTCCCTACTGAGATATTTTTTTATGCAAACGAACAAAAACATCAGGTTTCAATCAATCCCTTTTCGCTGTCCTCACTCTCACAGTTCTGAAAACTTTTCCGTATTTCTTAGAGACACGGGACAAAGGCCACCGAGGACAGATGACAGCTCTCAGTCATTGGGTAAGCTGGGGGGGCGGCGGCACTGGAAGGCAGGTCGTAGGCGATGCCCGCGCTGGCGAAGGTGACCAGAGCTTGGGTCGAGTCACAGGACTGCTTCTCCACGTCATCAGAATTGAGAGACATCAGGCTCAAGTGTTTGGATCTTGTCCAGAAGGGGGTTTGTTTGCCCCAGCTCCCCAGATCCTCCTTAAAATGGGGGTTGAAGAGGATGTAGAGAAGAGGATTGAGGCACGCAGGCAGCGGGACGATGACCAGCAGGATGAACTTAATGACGTCTGGGCTGATGAACGTGAGGTTCAGCAGGGAGGAGAAGGACAGGAAAGCCACGGGGCAGTAGAGGATGCAGTTGGTGAAGAGCAGCAGCGCGATGTGCTTCACCATGGAGCAGTCCCAGGCGTTCTCCAGGTCGCCCTTGTCCAAGTTGCAGTAGAGCCTGGTGTAGGCGACGGTCATCACCAGGAAGCAGAGGGAGTTGAGCAGGACCAGGGCGACCATGTAGCCGGTGGCGCGGGGCTCCCCGAAGGGCAGCGGCAGGCAGAGGGGCGAGGCGCTGTACTCGCTGCCCCCGAGCAGGGGCACGGCGGCGATGAGCAGCGCCAGCGCGGCGCACAGCGCGACCACCGCCTTCAGGCCGGCCAGCGGCGCCTTCGGGTCCAGCTTGGCGGCGCTTTTCACCGACAGCCCCCGCTCCAGGGCCGCCAGGGTGAGCAGGAACACGGACGACTCGGACGCGAACATGGACAGAAAGCCGACCAGCTGGCACCCCACGCCCTGCTCCCAGTGGGCGCCGTGCCGGGCGAAGCTGCCGAAGGTGAAGGCGTCCACGCCTGCCAGCACTGCACTGGAGACCCCCATGAGCAGGTTCACGGCCGCGATCAGCCCGACCAGCAGCTTGATGGACGAGAGGTACAGCGGGGCCCGGAACACCGTGCAGGTCACCAGCGCGTTGCACGTCAGGGCCACGACGGCGATGGTCCACACGCCGATTCGGATCAGCCAGCTGCCGAACAGGTATTCGCAGAGTTTGAAGGGGCCTGGAGGTCCGAGGAAGAGGAACGGGCATCAAATTAGCGTTTGCAATTTTTGCTAAATTTTACCTTCGGGTTTCTCCTATTAAGATGCCAATACAGGGAAGCCAGGAACAGCCACGGTAACGCAGTGCATATGGCTTGCTCTCTTTCTCTCTCTCTCTCTCTCTCTCTCTCTCTCTCTCTCTCTCTCTCTCTCTCTCTCTCTTTCATTTTTTGGTGTTTAAGCCACACCCGGTGGTACTCAAGGCTTACTCTTGCCTTTGTGCTCAGGAATCACTCCTGGTGTGTTTGGGTGCCTCAGATTGAAGACTGGTAGGCTGTGTGTGAGGCAAGCACCTTGCCTATTTCTAGTGCTATTTTTCTGGTCCCTGTCCATTAGTTGTTTTTTTTTTTTTTTAATGGTGTTTTGGGTCACACCAAGTGATGCTCAGGGGTTACTCTGGCTCTGCAGTCAGGAATCATTCCTGGCGGTGCTTGGGGGGGATTGAACCCAGGTTGGCTGTGTGCAAGGCAAATGCCCTACCAGCTGTACTCTTTCTTTGGCCCCAAGGCCACTAGGTTTTTTTTTTTTCTTTTCCCTTTGTACTTGGGGCCAACCCAGCAGAGGGCTGGGCTTAGTCCTGCCTTTGTGCTCAGGGCATCCTTGGGGTGTACAGAATAGAACCTGGGTAGGCTGTCTGCAAGGCAAGCACCATGCTCACTGTGCTATTTCTTGGCTCCTGGTCTTTCTTTCTTTCTTTCTTTCTTTCTTTCTTTCTTTCTTTCTTTCTTTCTTTCTTTCTTTCTTTCTTTCTCCCCCCCCCCCCCCCCCCCCCCGCCTTTTGGGCATTGCCCAACACTTTCTTGAAGCACCACAGTTATTGCCTCTGATTACTCTGCAGGAGCACTTCAGCTGCTTGTGTTTTCAAGCTATTTGTGCAGAGAAACGGAGACATCTATATTTGTTAAGGTCCTCCAACAGAAATGTTGGGGCTATTTTTTTAAAATTTTGTTTTGCTTTTGGGTCACATTTGGAGGTGTGGGGCTACTCTTGGCTCAGGGCTCAGCCAATCATCCTTGGCTTCTTGCACACCTGCATGAAAAGCATGAGCTCTACTTTCTTAATTTTTTTTCCCTGGGGAAGGGTCCATGTCCAGTGACACTAGAGGACATGTTTGGTACTGAACTGGGGTTGGCTGCATTCAAGGCAAGTTCCTTAACCCTCATACTATCTTTTTTCCCCCTCAACCTATCTGTTTTTTTTTTATTTTTATTAGTGAAACACCATGAGGTACAGTTGTAGACTTACAAATTTTTGTGCTTGGGTTTCAGTTAAACAATGATCCAGTACCCATCCCTCCACCAGTGCCCATTCTCCATCATTTACATTTTTAAAAAAAATTTTGTTAGTGAAACATCATGAGGTGCAGTTGTAGATTTACAAATTTTTGTGCTTGGGTTTCAATTGTACAATGATCAAACACCCATCCCTTTATTATAGATATATTTTCAGAATGTTTCCAAAAAAGTCAGGAAAGCAGAGCAAGTGAATCCTAAAGGAAATAATCCAGATTGTTAGAAGTATAAATAACATGAGGATAAATCTGCTGAGTTTATTCTTAGGTTTAAATTAGCATTCAGGGGAACAGAGATAATATAGGGATTAAGGTATTCTCATTTCATGTGGCCAACTCCAGTTTGATCCTGGGCACGACATATTGTCTCCTGAGAGCCAACAGATGTAATCCCTGTGTAGAGGGGGTAACTCCTGAGAACTGTTGCATGTGGCTCCTAAACCCAACCTCATGCCCCTCGCTCCCCCCACAGCCAAAAAAAATGGCTTTTGGTGCTTGGGAGCAAGTGACAAGCTAGTTGTTGAAAATGAAAAATCAACTTTTCCCAGGATTTGTGGGGGTTGGCTATGCTCAGAGGTGCTCCGGAACTACTGCTGGTTCTTTGCTCAGGGATCACTCCTTGTGGTGCTCAGGAGACCATATATGATGAAGGGGATTGAAACAGAGTCAGCTAAATGCCGAGTCTTAACTCCTGTGCTTTCTCTCTATATTCCGCCCACCCCCCCACTTTTAAAAACTGGCTCATGCTATTTTTAGGAAATGATTTGTGAAGTCAGTATACATATATTTAAAAAAATCCATATGAACTATTATTTGCTTTCATCAAAAACTATTTAGCAAAAACTTTTTAAAAATCTTGTTCAAGAACGAGTGATCCCTGAAACAAGGCTTGAGTACGATTTCAGACAAACTTGCTAATGCCATTTTGCAATAATAGGGACTTTCTTTCCCCAAGCATGCCGTTGCTCTTTATTTTTCTCCCTAATTAAAATGTCTTTGAGACTCCCCTTCTTAATTCTTTCTGAGGTGAGCAAATCTGAGGGAACAGGGGGGGGCCTCTCTCTTGGCTTCAGTGCTGCCAGACCCACCTCTACAGGACTCAGGGGTGGATGCAGAAGAGGCAATGGAAATACACCTCCTGGGGCCAACACATGTTGCAATTTATTGTTCACTCTGGTGCCCACCCTCACTGAAATATGTTACCCTGTTCTCTTTTCTTATAAAAACCACTTCCTGTGACCGTATAGGCAAGATGGTTACTTTTTTCCCACCTGTCCCTTTGCTGTCAATAAACTTCTTTCTCTATCTATCTATCAATCAATCAATCAATCAGAGTATGGGGGGTCTGGGAAGGCTCAGTTATAGAGTACCTACCTGACATTTATGAGTCCTGAGTTAGATCCTTGGCACCAGGGAAAAATTTACCTATGCTTCCAACTACGTGTTGGAGTCTTTAGTTTTCTTAAATTGAAAGCCAAAAAACTCACTAAATTCTGATTTGCGATTTATTAATGTTTATTTTTGTGCCATGAGTTGAATTCAGGGCCACATATATGAGAAGCATGTGCTTTACCACCTGAGCTCCAGCCCGGGTCCCATACCCAAACATCCTATTTATGAGTTTGTTTGCTCCATGGAATGACTAGTGACATTAACGTTTCCCCATGAAGACAGACACCGAACAGGCCCAAAGGTGCACAGATTTTGTATTGCTGTATAGCCAGAATATGATCAACGGCCTCCAAGTTAGTATGTGTGTGTGTGTGCGTGTGTGTGTGTGCGTGTGTGTGTGTGTGTGTATGTGTGTGTGTGTGTGGGGAGTGGGGTTTCTGCTGCAGAGGCTCTCTGATGCTATTCCTTAGTTTGTTTTTTTGGGGGGGGGCACACCCAGTGGTGTTCTGGGGGCTATTCCTGACTCTATGCTCTGGGGTGATCCATGGCAGTGCTCAGAAAACTATATGAAGTGTCAGGGATTGAACTCAGGTTGACCACATGCAAGGCAAAAGCCCTCCCCCTCCTCCCTACCCCCCACCACTGGGCTATGTCTCTGGTTCTTCTGACGCCACTCTCACCTGGGGAGGGTGAGCACTGCACCGAGTGAAGTGCTTTCAAGTCTTCCTCAAAGTCAAGCAGAAAGTCCTCCAGGTCACGCTCATCTGCAAGAAAAGGACTGGATTAGTGATTTCTGTTTCTCTTTCCCAGGGGCCCAAGCCCCAGAGAGCAGAGCCCTGAATTGCCCCTGAGATGTGACAGAGGGAACGGCCGGTCAGGTATTTCCCTGTTTCTTGGGCTCTGGCTTTTTAGCTGGTCGATGATGAAGTTGCCTTTGGATATACAGCTCATGCTACTACACGACAGAGCATCCCAGCAGCACCGAAGGGAAAGTGATCCCAGACCCCTGCTCAGAATATCCAAGCTTTAGCCGTTCTTGCTCCCTGGATCCCAGGATGTCCCACAGTGCATGGAGCTCAATGATGGCTCAGTGAGCTCCTCTACTCAGTGTGAGAATCCCCCGAGCCAGTTTTCTAATGCTTAGCTGTATCGGATGGTGTTCTCTGAGCATGAAAGGGAGAGTCAGACAAAGGGAAGTTCCAGTCCACCCTGGGGGAATTCTGCTCTGCACTGCTGTCTGGCATTTAATTTTCCTCTCCAGAAAACAGGAGTTTTTATGTTACAACACAACTTTCCAGAGATGCTGATACAATTGGTCTGGTGAGGAGCTTGCTCATCAGTATATAGTACTTGGCGCTCAGGGTCTACTCCTAGTTCTGTACTTGTGGGGCCCATGTAGCATTGGGGTAAAATTTGAAGCTCCTGAATACCAATCAGACCATAATCCAGTTGAGGCATTTCTCTGGCCTCATTGTCAGTATTTTTGAAAGCTACCATATGGTTCCAGTAAGGGGTCAAGGGTTGAGAATCACTGCCTTTCAAAATAAGCTCCATGAAGGACTTTGCTGCTCTTATCTGTTATAGAACAATCTAGAACAGTGCCTGACATATGGAAGGAACTCTGATTTTTTTCTTTTTCTTCCTTCCTTTCTTTCTTTTTTTCTTCCTTCCTTCCTTCCTTTATTTTTTTTTTTTGTGAATAAAAATAGTAGAAATTGGAGCCAGTAAGGCAGGAGAGAAAAAGAAAACCCACAAGAACAAGAACAAAGTAGGCTCTGTGGCTTAAAACAAAAGATGTCAAGCAATAAAATATCAGTGATATGTGTGCAGGAAGAGATGCTATGAAAATGTGCAGACAGATGAAATCATACTTGCTTGGAATCAACAAATCATTAAGGTCCAAGGGAAGACAAGCCGGTCTGTTCAGATCTGTGCAAACTTGTAAAGTTGGCAGGAAAGGAAGGTGGGTGCTGCCTGGAGGTCTCATTACCGCAGGTGTGGTGTGAGGTGCATTGCTATGTGTTTAAGTCAGGTCTTACTTCAAGGAAATCCAAGTGCTTTACAGACATGATCTCATTTCACTTTCCTGACAGATGCCCCTCTGGGGGGTTATGAGGAGAGAATGTTTCAGAATTAGTTGGGTAAGGAGTTGGATTCCTAAGATCTACTGCTGAAATAGAGGTATCTGAAATGCTTCTATTTTCTACTCCCCAAGGCCATAAGAATAAAAATGAACTTTATCTTTTGAAAAAAAAATAATCCAGATGCATGTTTGAAAATAGTCTCTACAGGGATGGGATCCATTTTAAATTTTATGGGAGTATTGATGTCAATGTGAAAAATGGTGCCTCTGATCATTATATGCTACGGAAATCCATTATAAGTGCTTAAGAATTCACATAACCAAAAAAAAAAAAGGGGGCGAGGGTTCCAAGGGATTATTTACTGGCAAAAAAAGAGCCTGCCTTGCAAGCAGAAGACCATGAGTTTGATATCTGCTGCCCCCACATATGCTAAGCATGATTCTGGTAGCTCTGTAGTCTCCCTGACTGCAACTAAGTGTGTGAGCTCTGGAAGCTCCATAGCAAGGCATGTGTGAACATCACAGTCAAGCATGATTATGTATGTGTATGGGAGAGAGATACAGGGAGAGAGAGAGAGAGAGAGAAGAGAGACATAGAGAGATAGACAGAGAGATAGATATAGAGAGACAGAGACAGACAATAAAACAGAGATCCTTGCATTGCAGCATCAATAGCAGTAAATGGTAAGGGGGTGGAGATGGGAATCTAAATAAAAGAAAGAAAGAAAGAAAGAAAGATAGAAAGAAAGAACGAAAGAAAGAAAGAAAAAAAGTTTCAGAATGAATCCCAAGGGAGCTTGCTTTTTGTCTGGGAGGTTTTAAAAAGTTGGGTGGATTCACAATTCCCAACTTGCTTAGGTAGTCACAGGCATTTGCTTATCTGGAGCTCAGGCCTCTAATGACCTTTCATATACAATTTTGTCATCATGACATAGTAGGTCCTACCTTGAACTTGAAACATTCCAGCATCTTTCTTATGAAGGTCATCCACACTGCTATTGTCACCTTTACTCCACTGATTGGAAATTTTATAGATATTCTCACATACTCCAAACGCACAGCACTGGTAAGCATAAGGCATTTCGATAACCCTTTAAAGTAATAAGAACAAATGAAGAACACACAAAGATATGAAATACCATGTGTAATATTCAGGGCTGAAGAGATAGCTCACTGGACTGAGCACAGAAGTGGTCATGTAAAAGTCTGAGTTTGATCTCTTGTTACTGCATGATCTTCTGAGCACTGCCTCAAGCGACACCCAAGCACAGAGCTAGGTATTGCCCCTGGGCACTGCTGGGTATGGACCTTCCACATAATATTCATCTTGTGATGGATTCACTAAAAAGTTCATTTCACTAATTCCATCTTTATATTTTAGCTTAAATAATCTAAGGTATAAATTATGTGAACAAAGATGTTCATTATAGTAACAATAGAAATTAAAAGTTGTTACTATGAAATATAATTGCTAAAGTTGAGTGTTAGGTATTAGATTATTTATCATGTTCTTTGTGTTTGGAATTTATTATCTGAATAAAAAGTTTAAAAATGATTGCTCAGAAAATTATAGTAACTGTAAAAAATATCATCATACAAGTGAAGGAAACATGATATAAGTTTGTGTTCATACTGTATTTCTAACAAAAATATGCTACAAAAAAAGTCTTGAAGGTAATAACATGGAAATTGCTTAGAAAGTATTTTTAGATTTTTTCCCCTCCTCGTTCCAATATTTCTTCCAATGTTATATAAAATATGTAAAAAGTATTGTGGCTTTATATTTATGTATATGTGTATATATAGGAAATTATATAGAGAGAAATTTTCAAGGGATTCTTTACTGATAATAAGCATAGCAGGTTTTAAAGAGCATTACTTCCTCGAGCAAATATTAATTCAGTACATTTTATCAGAACATACACACAAGCTAGATGAATTAAAAAATGTAAACAGGAGTATAATAATGTTATTTAATTACATGTCTTTGTTTAGATCCCATGGATCAGTGGTTTTTAAACTCTTTCCATGAACCCTTTGATTCTGGGAGGCATCTTTGAGAAAGAAAGGAAATATGGTCAGGAAGATCTATTCTCCCACTTCAGGGCTTGTCCTAACAATGCCCAAGGGAGGGGGGCACTTGAGGGCATGAAATGCAATTCAAAAGGGTCCTATGACCTCATAAATTTTGAAAACCACTATAACACGTCTGTTATTTCACATGACCACAAATGTATCTTATTAGTTTTAATGACAAACTCACTTGAGTTCTGGAAAGTTTTCAGATGATATCAAGCTCTGTAAGGCATGATTTCCTGTTAATTTTAAGTGAGTTAAACCATGTAACCCAGTTACAGGAAAGGACGACAGCCGGTTGGACGAGAGGTCCCTGCAAAACATCAAACAGCAATCGGCTTTTAGTCTGTTAGCATAAAACATTTATGTTAAAAAAGCAACCAAAGGATGATTACACTGCTCAATAAAAACTAAGCAGGATCCTTATTGTTACTGGTCCAAGTTGCCATTTTGGTTTTAATTCCTGAAAAATTTTCAATATTTAATCAGAACTGTGAAGAGTTGGGGGAATGCTTCAGTGGCATCTAAATGATGACTTCTACTGCAATATTCAGTAGAATATTCAGTAGTTTGATTTTCCTGGGTGGGCACAAATAAAATCATGGGAAGGTGTTATACTTTGCTTCAAAAGTGATGCTGGGCTGTAAAGGTAGTACAGGGATTAAGGTGCTAGACTTACACAGAATCAATCCTGGTTCAATCCCTGGCAACACTTGGTCCCTCAAGTACCTCTGCAATCAATCCCTGAGCAGAGCCAGGAGTAGCACCTGAGTACTCCCAGATGAGACCCATAAAACAAACAAACACAACATAGCAAAACACCCAAGAGTGTTGCTGATTAGATAGTTATGGGTGAACAGAATGTGTGTCTTTATGCCCTTCCTTCTTTCCTTCACATTTGTCAAATCAGTCCTTTCTCTCCATTTAATAAGGGAGAAGTGGAAAGAAGGAGAGGTGGAAAGGGGTGAAAATAAATGAAGAGGGAGATAAAGTTTTCTATCAGTTAGGATGCAAACGCTAAGACAAAAAGCCTTATATATTTTTTTTGTTTCAGCTTTCACCCAGTTGTGCTCAGGGACTACTCCTGGGCCTATGCTCAGGGATGTCTCCTGGGTCTGTGCTCAGGGATGACTCCTCCTAGGGCTTGAAGCTCTGTGTATAGTGCTGGGGATAAAATCCAGCCTGGATGCATTTAAGGCAAATACCTAACCTGCTGTACAATCTCTCCAGACCTTCCAAAACTTTTAGAACTGAATTGCCATTGTAGTCCAGTCCACCTGATTACTCAGCAGAAATGGAATTATCCCTGTAGATTCAGTAACTGATCTGTCACACAGAGCTTCAATGACCCACCTAGGGCCTTGTCAGGCCATGCAGGGAAGGGGGACCCTTTCTGGTCCAACAGGACTCTTGGGCTGAATATGTTAGGGGAGTTGAGCACAGTGTATTTTCAGCTTCTTCAGCAAAACCAATGTATTTTTACTTTTGTTTTATTTTTCTATTTCAGGCATGATTTACAATACTGTTAATGACAGGGTTTTATGCATACAGTGTTCCAACTCTACTCGTGTCCGCTTCCCTCCAGAATGGAAGGGGGCTGATATATATATATAAATATATATATATATATATATGCTTTTTAAATAAAATCTATGGTTCCCAGTTGTTAAAAGATATGTCTTAAACAAGTAATGAAATACTCACAGCTTTCTCAGAGATGGCAAAGTAGAAAATGCATCAGGGTGAATATTAGCAATTTTATTCCAAGCTAAATTCCTATTTTTAGAAAAAGGTAAATAAAAGAATTAAACAAAAAATACGGTATAGGTTTAACATATATTTCTATACATATGTATATATACATATGTGTGTACATATATACATACACACATATATAGTCTTCTTGATCTCTCCATATATATCTTTTACCAAGATTTAATTTCCACTTAGGGCAAGAACAATTAGCAAGCCACCCTTCAGACAAAGATAGTCATAGTATAACGTGATTAAAGAGAGAATTTCTAGTTAACCTTGTTTAAACCAATTAAGGAAGAGTTATTCAGGTGGATACCAGTTTTTCTTGACTCTTGCTAAAAAGTTAACCTCAGCATAGTTGTAAAAGTTTATTGGGGTTGTTCTGAGATGAGGCGGGGGGGAGGGACAGAGACAGGAACTTCTGCGACCTTGTCTTCTGTCTAGACAAGAAAGTAAATTTTAAACCCTAGGAAGTCTCTAGATATGTCATAAAACTCAGAAAGACTGAGTGCACTGTGCCCAACGTATTTCAGGCCTTAAGAGGAACACAGAAATGTTCTCCCTTCCTCTTCCCCCAAATTCCCATTTAAATTCTTAACTGAGGAGTTAATGTATGTTAGAAATCTTTTTTGATAACAAAGAAAATCTGTAATTTGTGGATAAATACAGGTCATTGACACACATATAACAAAATATAGATAATTTAGCTGGAATATCTATCTGCACTTTTTTTTTTAAAAAAAAGGAGCAATGAACTTCTAATAGGTAGTTTAAAATGCTCAATAAGGGTAACTTAGGTGTAGACATTGAGTAAATTGAAAGTAATCAGATAATTCCATTTCTCTAGCACAGGCAAGTCATTAATTTATGGCCGTGTACCCGCTGGTGATCTTAAAGAAATGGTTTTCACAGACTATTGGTATTCTCATTTGCCGAATCCCCTAAGCAGAGGAAGCTGGAAGGTTTATTCTTCTAAGCCTTCCATTGATCCCAGAACAGAAGTAAAGTGCAGCTAACGAGGGGAATGACACGGAAAGACTGTGAGAAGTACAAATGGCAGTCAGGTGACTGACGAGACTGTCTTCTGTGGAGCCGTTCATAAAAGATGTGTCCAGTGAGTGTCACAAATCATGCCATCTGTCATACATGGGTGAGCTTCAAAGAGAGTAGTATCAGGAGTGTAGGTCAAGTCCTGCCATGGGGCTTTGCTTCAATTTGACAGGGTTTTATGGAAACACGGGAGAACTTTTATGTCCAAAGAACCATCTTTCCCTGGCTCCACGCTGGCATGAATCCTGGAGGAGGCATTTCTTGGTTGCAGTGTAGGGCCAGCCTTGAGGCGAGCAGCTGGATTCCCAGGGCAAAGCTCCCCAGGAGGGACTGGGTTGGGCACATGTGGTTCACTATCCCTGTTCTGGAATTGTGTTCCTGCCCTCTCTGGGCCTCAGCTGGTCCTGGATTTTGGAAATCCCATTTCCTCCAGGCATCCCTTCAGTGCCAGCATTTGTCTTGCTGCTGGTTTCTGCGCCCCCACCCCTGCCTGCTTCCCGGCCACACTGGGCTTCAGGCCTCTTTGTGTGAACCATCTGCCGACTGGCACAGGGCAGACTGCAAATGGACGAACAACGTTTGAATTGATTCCAGGAAAGAACCATGAGCAAAAGTTTGGTGTTTTCATAGCAAGTGTTTGTACAAAATTCCACAAAATGATATACAGTGTTAAGAAAATATTTGGGGGAGGCCCCCCTCCCCCCCACCCCTTGCAGACTTCCCTGTGTGGGGAAGGTACAGGAAGGCAGTACTCACAGTGATCTGAGGCCAAACAACTGCTGGAAAGTCTCAGCTTTAATTTCCGAAATGTCATTATGCCGGAGGTCACTGGAACGATAGAGTCCCAAAGACTGATTTCAGAATGCCCAGTTTGAAAAAAGAGACTTTTGAGAACCAAAACAAAAAAGTAGCCTCAGTAATATAGTTACAATTAAGTCTTAACATTTATGATTTTGATATGCAAAGTCACTGCACCTTCACCACTAACAAAGTGCCCCAGATCCTCCATCACTGTCCCTATGTCACTTCTAGTCCACTTCATTCCTCCCAACCCTTCAGAGAACTTACATACCCCTAATCAAGGGAACAGCTGAAGTATGACTATCAAGTGTCAAACAAAATTGCTTTGTTGGGGCTGGAGCCACAGTACAGTGGGTAGAGCATTTGCCTTGCATGCAGCTGACCTGGGTTCGATGTCCTGCATCCCCTATGGTTCCTCTGAGACCATCAGGAGTGATCCATGAGTGCAGAGTCAGGAGTAAGTCTTGAGCATCACTAGGTGTGCCCCCCCCAAAAAAAACCCCAGCAAATTTGCTTTGTTTTAGGATAACATCTCCACGTATACACCTCTCTTTCACAGCAGCTGTCTGTTTGTCTGGTGGATATGAAACCTTGTCCCAAACATCAGCCAGGCTCTTGGAGGATGGCTCCTCTGGCATTATCTTTGGACCCTTTCTTATATTCTCTGAGTGTTTTTAGGAGAACCAAACCAGTACTTTATGCAGATTGATTTTTGCCCACTCTCTTAGTCACCCAAAGGCTTCAGGGAGAAATTAAGTGGGAAAGGACAGATGATTAATATCATTTGACCAAAAGAGAAGTATGACCATATAACAATATAGCGGACATTTTGAGAAGGTAAATTTTAAGAAGGAAATACTAAAATGTCTCACATATAATGATACCTCAGCTATATCAAACAGACCTCCTCTAAAGATGACTGTTAGAAACAAAGCTATAAACAAACCCAAGTCCCTTCCCCCTAATAAATAATAATACTACTATTATACACTCAGTATAAAAAAATTCCAAAGCTTAAGCCAACCCAGTTTATTATTACCCCAAGTTTGGTGGGAGGAAAAAATCCAATACATAAGAAATACGTTACTTAAAGTGTGGTATAAGGTAAAATAGTATTATCTATGTTGCCCAACTTTATAGTTATTCACTGCAGTCACACCAGTGTGTATAAGGAAAGTCTCCCCTGAGAATTGAAAGAAACCAGTGACTCCCCAAAATGGAGTTTTGGTCTTGTTTTTTTGATAGGAAACTTAGAGACCTTTAAGGACATACATTTTCTGGAGCTTTTGGCAGATGGAAAAACTGGGTAAATCTTCTAGCAGGTTGTAAGACAGATCTCTGGAAAACAAGGAATAATACAGAAAATCTGTTACCTATTAATCATAAGGAAACATGCTATGCTCTTCTTTCCCTTTCAAGATGGTCTATCTTCTCAAAAGTCTGAACGCTCCCTAACCCTGGCATGCAGCAGGTAATCCCAGACATTATTGGATTAAGCAATAAAATGAAATGTTTACTGAAATGTAACTGTTAGACGTCTTTAATTAATTTATGTAATTTGTGTGATGATTTTATTTATATTTTGTTAGCGATGATCTACAATTTTCTAGCTATTATCTTACTGAAATAAATACAAATTAAATTAAATAATTGTGACCCTGTTTCTAAGAGCTGCTATATCCTTACAGCTAAGAGAATCACTGTTGGTTCTTTTCCAATCAACTTAAAAAAACCCCAAAAAACCAAAAAACAAAAAAATCTCAACTATTTAAAATATAGCACTAACTTTGAAAGCAATCATTATGAGAGGGAAGAAATCTAAGAAAGTTTTCAGCCAAAACTTAACAAATTTCAGAGTAACAAAAACATCTGGACATATTTAGAGTATAATATAACTAATCTAAAACAAGCCATGGTAATTTGCAGAAAGCTTAGAAAAGAAATCTGGTAGATAAAGTAACATAGATGTAAAAAAAAAATCTTGTCTCATGTTTTAAAAATTATCAGCTAATCAACTAACACATTTTCATGCCTGATTCTAATTCTTAAAACCAGATCACGACTATGCAACTGAAAAATTCATAGTGAGACATTTAAGTTGTTTTATTCTTGTAATTGATCATTCAATTCTACATTTATTGAATAAATGGAATTGAGATAGAAATACAGTTCCTTTACTACATATAAATAATTCTTCAGAAGCTGGTAGCAAATGCAAATTTGTAGTTTATGCTAGAGATGTTAGAGACCAAAGCAAACCAAGCCAAATAAACAAAGACAGAACACCTCGAATCATACCTCTTACCTAAACACATCTAACCCTACCAACATGTGAGTGTTTTTGAACAATAGTGAATGAGATAGCTCCCCGTGGCATATTTGATATGCCAAAAACAGTAACAACAGGGGCTGGAGCAATAGCACAGCAGGTAGGGCGTTTGCCTTGCACGCAGCCGACCCAAGTTCGATTCCCAGTATCCCATATGGTCCCCCGGGCATCACCAGGAGTGATTCCTGAGTGCATGAACCAGGAGTAACTCCTGTGCATCACCAGGTGTGCCCCCCCCCCAAAAAAAATAAAACAGTAACAACAAGTCTAACAATGGAGACATTACTGGTGCCCACTCAAGCAAAATTGATGAACAACGGGAGGAAAGTGCTACAGTGCTACAGTGAATGAGATAAAGTGGAAGCATGTTTTCTCATCATCATTTGGCTTGCTCATCTCCACAGATGGCAAGGGAACAAAGAACAAAGCCTTCCTGTGTACCTCTTAGTAGATGGTATATAAAACCTTCTATGTAAAGATACAACTTTCTTCTAATAATTTTCGTAGCTAACATTGATCAAATTTTCATTGCACACAGACATTACAATAGTGTTACCGAAAAACTTTCATTTAATCCTTGTGGTCTTGTAAAGGAGACACTATACAATGCAAAATAACCTGCTTAAGATCACCAGCTAGCAAAAGTGAAAAGCTGTGTATTGCCAAGTAAGTCACAGGAAGGTAAAGTTACTTGAGGTAAAAATTATTTCTGTAGAGTAAAATGCTCTCATGTAACCTTAGTAGTTAGAAGATGGTTAATGACAGAAGGAAGTGCTCAAATTTAGACTTCCAGAATATAAAGCAGAATATAGTGATGGTCAGCCACCGATTCCACTGAGAGTGGGCCCAGCTGAGCAATGCTCAGTACTAATTGGAAGAAAGAAGGAAGGAAGGAAGGAAGGAAGGAAGGCAGGCAGGCAGGCAGTAGGAAGATGACAAGACTTAACAGTGCCTGAGCATTTATAATGTTCCAGGTACTAGTATAAGTTTTGGAAATGTGTTAACTCATTTAATCGTCATGGAGATCATCTGAAGGAAGTACTGAATCAGACAAAATGGGTTCCAGTGATTTTGTTTTTGATAAATTTAATCTGCCAAGCAGCCTCCACTGATGCGGTTCTAAACCTGGGAGACCAGAGACTCACTGTGTGGCATCAGGGAGCTGCAATTTAAGCACGGGTTCCCTATTGATTAGTTAGAGGGCGAAACTCCACTCATGATATGGATCCAGTTTCCTCAAGGAAATGGGGATAATTATACCGATTCTGGGTATGGTAGGTGGAATTCCAAGATGGCTCTTTAAGACTTCCATGACCTGGTATACAGACAGTTATTTCATCACTCTGCATTTGAATTTGGACTCTGCTGTTTTCTTGACACATGGCTTAGACAGATTAACTTTTTTCATGCACAATTTTCTCATCTGTTCTGTACCTCATGGGTTGGTGGGTGAAGAAGAGGAGAGACTGGCTCTGCAACCCCTTCCTTTATATGTGTGTGACCAACTACATGGTTGTTATGTCATGCTAATAATACTGTATCACATAACAGATGAGGGGTGGAGTGTTAGAGGGAGCTGAGGGGAGGGCAGATTCGCCAAGGCAGACATATCCATCCTTCCACTTAACATCTGTGGTGTTGCTTGTAGTCCTGCTACTGCACAGAGACTCTGGAAGAATTGCAGGCGTTGAACTACCATAGAGGTCTTTATGTGAGAATAGAGCCAGAGCAAGAGACTACGTGTCCTTTCATTAAGTGCCAATAAATGCTTGAGTGGGAGGTGAGGAAGAAACTGAAAACGGAAGGCCAAAACAAGGCTCTTCATTTCCTATTGACTACTTTTTGGTAAAACATGGGAGGGTAGAGGAAAAAGCCCCAATTAAAAGAATATACAAGCTGTTTTGGTATTATATGAAAGACAGTACCCACAGCTATACTGGCAAATGTGTAGTTGCCCTTTATCAAGGACTTTGTGGGTCAGTAACTTGATTTTTTTATTTTTGAACCCATATTGGGTTTTTTATCCAGTAAGCTACCTTTTCTTTCTCTGCATTGTCATTGAGGGGGAAGTAAAGCTATTTTGGGTTGCTCATATCCATTTTCTGAAAGAAAATGTGTTAGCTGAAACTCGAAGAGAAGATTGTTTGGGACTTGGAAACAAAAGATGCAATGCCATCCTTGCCAAGGTCACAGCCGAGTACCACTTCCCTGGCCAGAGCGGGCACAGGGGACCTGACCTTTTGGAGACCAGCAAGGAAAGAACTTTCTCCCTTTTAAAGAGTGATTGAAATGATGTCTACCATTTCACCCCTAAATGGAAGTTGCCTGTTTACACAACATTATTGCCTTACTGATACGCACAGCACTTGGAGATTAGGTAACTGATTGCAGACGGTTTGAGGAAGCGATGAGATCTGTGCTCCAGTTAAAGTCCTGTTGAAACACAAACCAGACACAATTCTTCTATTCAGGCATCAGGCAGTGACATATTTTCATCAATGACATGAAGCCCGGTCAGGGTTTTGGGGCTGTCCGAGTTCTGGGCAGAGCCGGAGCCTGCTCAGGTACTTACAGACTCTCTAGGCTTGCAGTTCCAGATAAATCAGGAAATTCAGTGATTTGTGAGGCTCCATTCAAAGTCCTAGAAAGAGGAGTACATGAGTATTATTGGGAGAGATTCTAGAAAAGGGTGCTTTTTAAATTGCCATTTTCAAAGTACTTCAACTTATAATATTCATTTGGTCTTCATAGCAACCCTTTGAAGGGAAACTGATCTATAAGAGAAATAAAAACTTACAGTGTTCTTAGCTCAGGTAAGTGTTGAAAAGCAGCTCTTCCAACAAGCTGAATGGGGTTATCATAGAAATGTCTGAGAAAATTCAAACACAAATGTCTGAGTGTAAAACTTGAATGATAAAGGAATATCTGTTCAAATTTTCAACAAATACATTAAATTTATGTATGTGATTTTGACTATATGCATACTATAAAACATTACTGATCACTTGGTTCCAGGAAAACCTCAAAATCTTCTTCTGTTTCTTATATTTTATTTTTGTATTTTGGGTCATGCCCCCTGGTGTTTGGGAGCTACTCTGTGCTTTGTGCTTAGGGGTCACTCCTGGTGCTTGGGGAACCATGTAGTGTGGGGCCTCAAACCTGGGCCTCCTGCATGCGAAGAATGCACACTACCCCCATAAAAGTTTCTCTGGTCTTCAAAAATGTTTAACACACATTATGGGACTTTTGGTAAAAAGTCTTACTCTATAAAATAACTTCTGACATCCAGATGATCATATTTACTAGAAGAAAAGCCAGCAAATCAACTACAGTTTTCCTTAAACATATTTATTGGTTAGGGTGAGGTAGGGACATAATAGTCCATTGGGCTGAACCCAGAGTGTCAGCATGCTTTGTATGCTAGCACGCTGGGTTCCATCCCAAGGTTTGGTCTCCCAAATGCCAAGCCTGAAGAAACCCCAAGCTTCTGCTGGGTATGACCCCCAAACAAGACACACACATGTACACACACGATCTATCTCTGTGGATGGGGTGGGGGTGGGAAGGATGGCTCAAAGAGCTGGAGTGTTTGCTTTATACATAGGGATCCCAGGTTTGATTTCTGGCACAACATGGTCCCCAGAGTACTACAGGGTGTAGACACACACACACACACACACACATACACACACACACACACACAATCTTTCTCTGTCTCCAACATCTGTGTAATATCCAATAAATGAGTAGTAAAAATGTCATTTAAGATATTGGCAATTATTTCATTAGTTAAAGAAAGATAAAGTACAATATATCTACGTACAGGTTAAACTTTTGATTATATATTGTGTGTATGTGTGCGTGTGTCTCTGTGTGTGTATGTGTGTGTGTGTGTGTGTGTGTGTGTGTAAGAGGGAGGTGTAGTGGTATTGCTGGTCATCAAACCCAGGGCCTCACACATGCAAGGTAAATGCTCTTCCACTAAACTCTATTCCCAGTCCCTCTTTGATCGGATCTTATCATAACATAAACAAGGTGCTTCTCAAATTATCTACAGAGAAAAGAGTTATTTGGTGTGTTATGTAACATTAAAACAAACAAATCAGTTATTATTCTAAAAAAACAAGATGTTATTAGAACTTGAAAATATTTTGTTTTGTCTTTTGGTGGCCATACCCAGTAATGCTTAGGGGTTGCTCCTGGCTCTGTGCTCAAGGATCCCTCCTGGCAGTGCTCAGAGGACCATATGTGGTGCTGGAAATGAACCAAGGCCAGCCATATGCAAGGGAAATGCCTTAATCTCTGTCTTATCTCGCTGTGTCCTCCTCACATCCTGCAGTGCTCAGGAATTGCTCCTGGAGGTGCTCAGGGGACTATGAGGTGCCTGGGCTCAATGTTGTAGGTCTGAAGAAGGATAAAGTATTCCAACTTTACAGAAGTTTGAAATTAGGTGGGATAAAACAAATGCCAGTATGTAACTTTTTAGTTGATAAAGTGTGTGCATGTGTGTGTGTGTGTGTGTGTGTGTGTGTGTGTATGCTGTTTCTCTTATTCTTCCAAGAAAAACCTCAGACTCTGGCACTCTGACTAGTTTATTATATTCTAAAGCTTTAATTTTCTAATTTGTTAAACTTAATTGTAGAGTTTGCGATAGCATAGCGGATAGGGCCTTTGCCTTGCACACAGCCGACCCGGCTGGCTCGAGCTCGATTCCTCCACCCCTCTCGGAGAAGGGGCAAGCTACTGAGAGTATCTCACCTGCACGGCAAAGCTTGGCAAGCTACCCGTGACATATTCGATATGCCAAACACAGTGAAAACAAGTCTCACAATGTTACTAGGCCTGCTCTAGCAAATTGATGAACAATGGGAGGACAGTGCTACTTACATAAAATGAGCTAATGTATATGAAAATTAGGTGCAATATCCTAGCCTCTGGCCTCTTGTTTCCCATTGGGCTAAATAATGGCAAGAGAATGAGAGTTGGAATACAGATCTTGTTATTAAAATGTGGAGTTTTCCTCATAATATTCATTTTCCCTTACCTGCATTATATGTATATAATTGCATCCATGTATACATACATGTATATACATTAGGTAGATACAAATATGTATCCTTGTGTGATAAAACCCAAATATCACAAATACAAATAAGAAGCTATGGACTTTTAGGAGGGAGTTCTCTCAAGGGATTAAGAACAACTTCATGGGGCCAGAGAGATAGCACAGCAAGTAAGACTTGCTTTGCATGTGGCTTGGATCACATATGGTTCCCTCAAACACTGTCAGGAATGATTCCTGAGCACAGATCCAGGAGGAAGCCTGAGCACAACTGGGTGTAGTCCCCGCCACCAAGGAAAAGAATAACTTCATGAGAAAAATGTCATGAGAAAACAGAATTTTATTTTTATGAGCCTTGCATGGTGCTCGAATACTACATCCTGTTCAGTGCTTGGGGTACCATGTTCTAGATGGAATCTGTTTAGCATGTGCTACGGTCCTTCTAGAGCTATCTTCCTGCTCCAGGAAAAATTTGGCAAGTACAGAGAAGAGTCTCCTGCCTCCACGCCTGGCTGTCCTCACCGGGGCCCCTTGGAGGAGCGTGGGTTGAGTTTCCCTCCCCACCCCGAGCAGAGCCCCGGCAGCTGAAGACCTCCAGTTCCAGCCTCAGCCATGCTTAAGACCACCCTCCACACGTTTGGACGAGCCTCATGCATGAAGGGACTGGCAGAGGAACCCAGATGTGCAGGACCCAAGGCGTAGATCTCCAAGCCTGCTCGGATTGGGACTGGGCCCTCCTCCACCCAGATCCCCCATCTTCCAGTATGTAGGCATTACACCCACCAACTGCCCCCTGGCACTGTGTAATCTCATCAACGGCCAAGACCAAGAAACTATAAAACCCAGCTCCCGGAAGACATCTTATTATCTAGGTGTTACTCTGGAGAACCTGGCAGGCTACCAAAAGTATCCTGCCCATACGGCAGAGTCTGGCAAACTCCCCTTGGCATATTCAATATACCAAAAACCAGTAATAATGATGGGTCTCATTCTCCTCACCCTGAAAGAGCCTCGAATGTGGCACTTTTTAAAATCTCAGGGCTAGGACGAAGGAGACATTACTGGGGCCTGCTCGAGGCAATCCATGACCAACAGGATGACAGTGATACAGGGATGATAGAGAAGAGATGGAATGATAGGAACAAAAAAGAGCTTTGCTGTGTGAATTTGCTTAGGTGGCCTGGGGGTTCGCTTATAGCCACATACGGCTGTGGTTACCAGCATAGGGAGTCAGTGTTTAATGTGGGCAGACAATCCTGATGTAGGTACAGTGGCTGTAGTGACGACCAGGATAGTGGGAGAGGCAGGGACAAGGGCCTTCCACAGACTGGTCAATGCTAGAGGTAATGGCTCACAGGGTGGAGGGTTGCAGTGGGGATGAAAAGAAGTTATGGAGATGATGGGAACTACAGAGCTAGAAAGGTTGGGTGGATGGAAAGTTTATAGAAACTGAGAATGCAGGGGTGGGTGCAGAATTTGGGGTGACAGTGACAAAGATCGAAACAGATGCAGAGGACCAGGAAGGTTGCAGGGAGTAAATGGCAGCATCAAATCCAGATAGAAGTGTTAATAAATGTTAAGGGTTGCTAGTCTTCCTCAAGGGGCATTAGCATATCAAAAGGGTGATTAAGAAAACAGTCCTGTGACTGCAGGAAAAAGGAGCAAAGGCAAAGCAATTTGGCAGCCTCTTACTATGTAAATGCACTCTAATGAGGACTAATGTTTATTGCCAATAAACTTTAAAACCCTGAGTTTGCCAACACACCGCCAGAACATTTCAAAAATGATGAATGGTTTAATTTTTTTTTCCCCAGTTGTCAGGTCTAATTTGAACTCTAGCTCATTTGTGACAAATGATACAGGCTTCCAGTAAATCTCCTAATCAAGTTGGCACAGAATGAATGCTCGCTCTACGGTGGCCCTAGAGTCATGCTCCATAATGGTCCTTCTCTCCTCTGTGTTTGAGACACCTTACCCAAACTCAGGACCCTAATTCCCATAAGCCTTCAGATCCTGAGGGCTCTATAACTAAAGCCCAGCTTACTAACTAGATATTTTCATCTTCTTACTTATCTCGTGATCAATCTGGTATCTGTACTAAATGTAAAACATCAAATTAAAGATACTTTAGAATTTAGCTCTATTTTATGCTTTTACGGCATATAAATCATCATATTTGTTTTTCTAGAAGAGATACTCTTTTCCAGAATTATATGCTAGTTTGTATAATGTGGCTCAATGCTTGGACTTGATAATGAATGGATATAGAGATTTAGCATAAATCAATATTCTTCTCAATGTAAGAGACCCAGTGTCTGGTACTGAAAAAAAGAAAAAAACAAAGAAAGAAATTGGTTGGAGCCTATTTTTCTGTTCTCTTTGTATGTAATAAGACAGATGTGTACATTTTTGCATGATTGAGAAATAATTGACATATAAAACCATGAGGTATTTAAAGTATCATCATGATTATTTGATCTTCATATACATTGTGAATGGATTCATCTAATTAATTGATACATCCATCACACTTTTTTTTTGGTGGAAGAACACTGACTATAAAAATCGACATTTGTAGACTACTTGGATTCAAGTTATGAATAGTTTGAGTGACCTAGGCATTGATGCTCTAAAAATAAATTTTCTACCTCTGAAATTAATTTTTATTTCATTTTATTCACAAATGTCAAAAGATTATTGTGGAGTTTGACAAGGTATCTTACTCTACCAAGCATTATACAATGCATGCTGACCTTAAAAAAATACATGTTATTTCAGAATGAAAAATTTATAAAGATCTATGACTGCTTACATTGTAATAAGAGATGGGTTGCCGACAAATGCTTTCTCAGGTATGGACTTGATATTGTTGCTATGAAATTCTCTAGAAAGAGACAAAAACCAATTTTTAGAAAACAGTGTATGGAGTAAAATTATCTATTAATTCCTCTCTCCAACCCCAGTGGTGATAATGCATACCTTTAGTATCTAAGGACAAGGTTAATTTCTTTATGCATATTGAAATTTACATTTCCTCATGTACTCTCTAGGAGAAAAGAAATTGCAAACCACTATTTTGTAAAAGGCGAAAGATTCATATGATCTGAAGAGAAACCAAAGTATGCAAACCACTATTTTGAAAGAGGAATAAAGAACCTGAAAGTAGTAACTATGTTTTATGGAAACTAGCAACCTAACATTATAAAGAGGAAATTCATGAATTCATATCCAATATGGCACCGCTGCGTAACAACTTGAGTCATTAGGAACCTTCTTTGAGGGGGGGAGGATAATGATGACCCCTTTAGAAGCTAGGAGCAGAGAAAATTGCCTTAAATTCCATTGAGGCTGAGATTTAAATAATCTCCTTAAGAAGAGGAAATTTCCTGAGCCCATGGAAGGTACCTCACTCAATGAATCTGTAACAGCAAACGGATTCTCATCTGTTGGTGTTCATTCATGCCTGAGTGGCAGGAAGAGTCAGTTGGTCCAGCCTGGGCCTGTGCTTCTTGAGGTGAAAGGCAGTTGAGGGGTCCCAGACCACAACAATGAAGACTTCTCATTAAGTCACGTGTGGGGCTTCCTGAGGCAGTCACCTAAAGTTTTTTTCTTATAAACAAAGCCTACTGTCTATATCCTTAGTTGTGTGTTTAATTTCCCTCTGCCAGGAGACTTAAAATCTATGTTTATTTTCTTTTCCAAGTATCTGAGCTTTCTGTAACAGGTTATTTATAGTGTTAGGTACCAAATAAAGCTACTTTAATTATAATTTATAAATGATAATATTATATGCAATCTAATAGCTGAAAGTTAGCTTTATTTTGGTAAAGTCATTTTTTTCTAGGGGAAGGATGGCTTGCAAGCAGTGTTCAGGGGGCCCAGGAGATACTGTGTCAGTTAACGAAGCTGCCAGTTCAGTGAGGATATGATGTTTTTCAAGCCCTGTGGTGCCAGGGACTGTAAGAGGACACCAGGGCCATCCTGGCAGTGCTTGGGGGTGTCTCCAGAACTGCTCCTGGTGATGCATGTGAGAGATGCCCTTTGGTGCTGGGGTTTGAATCTGGTTTAGTCACATACAAGGCATGCAACCTGATTCCTGTACTACCTTCCTTGGCTCATGTTTTGCTCTGTTTTTAAGAATTATATTTATAAAAAGAGACCAAGCTACTGAATCATTCCAGGTCGTCTGGTCTTCGGGCTGAGAACTCTGGGGCTCTTTTAGAATGGGCGTGGGTAGCAGCAAGGAGAAGGTCCAGCAGCGCCCCAGCCCCACCCAGCATCCTCTAGCATATAAATGGCCTAGCTCCACAACTGAACCTCATCAAGTCACCAAGCCACCAAACCGTCCCACCTCCATAGCTCCTGGGACTCATAGCCACAAATGTGGCTGTGCCATACCCCCAAAGCTTCACAGTACCAACAGCCTAGTAGGAGCACAGCATTTTTGATGGGAAAGTTGCCTAGAAGTCCACCAAACTCAATGAATGAAAACAATGACACAGAAGGCTCAACTAATTCTCAGACAATAACTTTAGCAACATTGTGAGATATAAAAATGATCACAAATGGACTTTTATTGATTCATTTTTTTCTAGTTCCATTTGAGTCTTGTAACAAACATTATTAAGTAAATTTGTGCCTGCTAAGGGGGAAGGCTTGGGAGGGGAGTGGGAAACTAGGGATACTGGTGGAGGGAAGATCACGCTGGCAGTGGGGTTAGTGTTAGAACTGGAAACAAATGCTGGAAACAACTGTATTATGAACAACTTTGTAAATCATGATTAAATAAAAAATTAAAAAATTAGATTTATGAGTCATTAAAAGGTAAAGGTAAAGGCCCTGACGTTGATCGTCGATTTGCTCGAGCAGGCCCAGTAATGTCTCCATTGGAGACTTTGTTGTTACTGTGTCTGGCATATGGAATACGTCACGGGAGCTTGCCAGGCTCCGCCCTGCGGGTGAGATACTCTCGGTAGCTTGCCGGGCTCTCCGAGAGGGGCGGAGGAATCGAACTCGGGTCGGCCATGTTGGCCGCTTGTAAGGTGAACACCCTACCCGCTGTGCTATCGCTCCAGCCCTTAAGATATAAAAAAAAGTATATAAAAGCAACCAGCACAATCAAAGTATATGCATTTTGTAATTCAGCTTTTAGAAATTAGGAAAGTTTATTCTTAGAAATATTCACTAGATAACTAATTTTTTAGATCACTGTCACTGTCCTCCCGTTGAGCATCGATTTTCTTGAGGGGGCCCAGTAAAGCCTCCATTGTGAGACTTGTTGTTACTGTGTTTGGCATATCAAATACATCATGGGTAGCTTGCTGCTTTGCTGTGCGGGCGAGATACTCTCGGTAGCTTGCCAGGCTCTCCGAGAGGGGCGGAGCAATCAAACCCAGTTGGTCTGGTCGGCCATGGGCAAGGCAAATGCCCTACCCGCTGTGCTATTTTTTGAAGTACATAAGTGATGGGGAATATAACATAGAAAAAGAGAAAAGGGGGACTGGAGAGATAATATAATGGGTAGGTGCTTGCCTTGCATGTAGCTCACCTGGGTTTTATCATTGGCACCCCATATGGTCCCCTGAGTCCCACTAGGAGTGATCCCTTAGTGCAGAATCAGAAGTAAGCCCTCACTACCACTGGGTGTGGCCTCCAAACAAGCAAGCAAGAAAATAAACAAAAACAAAAATAAAAAAGAGTAAGGTTCAGATAAATTTGTATATTTTCTGATATGTGCATATTAGAGAAATTCATTACAAAATTAAAAAAATATTACCTGATTTTGCTGGTGATAAAATCCATTAAAGTATATTTCAAGTGTATTTAGCAGTTATTTATAATGAACTTTATAATGAGTATTTAAAATAAGCTTTCAGCAAGTCATTTTATGTAGAGGAATCATGCATATTTTAAAGTTAACAAAGAACAGAGTTCTCTTGACTTAATTTATCCTAAAATACTTACAGTTCTTTAAGGTTGGACAGTGTCCTGATTGCGGTGGGGAATTCATCAAGGTTATTGTAATTTAAGTCCCTGGAAGTAAATAATATTTTCAGTTTTTTATAAAAAGTTTATGTTTACAATATTTTCTTTTCTTTTCTAATGTCAGCTCTTCCTTCCTTCCTTCCTTCCTTCCTTCCTTCCTTCCTTCCTTCCTTCCTGCCTTCCTGCCTTCCTGCCTTCCTGCCTTCCTGCCTTCCTGCCTTCCTGCCTTCCTTCTTCCTGCCTTCCTTCCTTTCTTTCACTCCTGGCAGTGCTTGGGAGAACATATGGGATGCTGGGAATCGAACCTGGATCGGTTGCATGCAAGGCAAACGCCCTACCTGTACTATTGCTCTGGCTCCCATACAATATTTTCAAAGAAAGCTAACTTGCTATTCCAAAAGATCAGTACAAATGATGGAGTCTCAATCCTTTTCTTGATGGAGTAGGATTCTCTTGGTTTGCTGACCTCCATCTATCCACAATCATCACATTCAAATAGTAACTGCAGGGATCCAGAGAAATTCTGGGGTATGAGTTCAGGGATGCGTGCATGCTAATGTGGCTCTTCTCCTGAATCTGGCCAGTTTGTGTGTGTGTATGGCCCTTGGGGGTTGCTGAATCACATCCTGTTTCACCCTCTGGCATTTCCACCCTGCTTTTCATTCCCATGGAGAGAACATCTTGAAGAGCTGCTCCTCTAGAGAAGACCCATATGTCTCCCAGCCTGAGGTCCATGAAAATGACCGGCTTCTGGAAAGTTTATATGATACTGTGCATTCTCAGAAAGGATCAAGTCTAAAATTTCTTCTAGTATCTCAACTACTTATTCAGATCAGAAATATGATGTTTTTCTTGGTTTGTGTGGCGAGGTTCTCTATTATCTATCCTTCACCCACAGAGATGGAATGACCACTCTCAAATAATTAATTTCTGTAATGACACAAACAGCCTTTAATTCTGCTATTCGCAAATGGTTTGTAGACTTACTTCACCTCATATCTAGATCTTTGTATGAAAAAATAATTGCCTCCTGGTTTCTGGGAATGGCAGATTTCCCAGATGATGCAGAAAAACCTTTTGGTCAGGCAATCAGATCAATGTGGTTAGATCTTCCTCTGTGGAGAAGAATTGCTATTTAATTTTAAGAGAGATAATTTGACTGAGTTAAACATGAATCAAGATTCCTACTTGTCTGGCACAAAGCAACCTTAAGCTATACTACAGGCAGGAAACTCATGTCTTTTGTGGACATAAATTTTCTTCCTGTTTGTAAATCTCTCCAGATGCTCTGTTTTGATTAAACGAGGATTGGGCCTTATAAATTACTTGGATTTCTAGTGAGAGAAAGGAAGAGGCTGGGAGTAACCAATTTACTGATCTTCTTTAGCCCTGGGCAAGGTGAAGGGGGTGGAGTGTGGGGGGGGGCGTTGGATGGGGGGTAAAGTGGGGGACAAGTGGATGCATATGAATTTGTCCTAAAGTATTTTGCTCTGTGGTATTTATATGCAATCCTGGGTCCTCACCCTAAACATGGGGGGGGGGGGGAAGGAAAAACTATTTATGGAAATAATTATCAAAACCCATCTTATTTTCAGTTCCTGTTTGTTAAAAAGAACTGGAAGGTGCTTTCCACTGCTAAGATCCCCAGCCCAGCCCCATATAGATAAGGAGGATATTCTCATTTTTTCCTTGCAGTGGTCAGGAACTGCTGGCCTGGCCATTAAATTGACATCAAAGTCCTGTCTGGACAAGCTCATCTTTGGCATCTCCTCAGGACAATGATTCTTTCCTTTTAACCTAAACACAGGGTCACTTTGTTCTAGAAAGAAAGCTATCAGTACTCACTGACTCCAAGAAGACCACCAACAGATGGTACTTCAAAAATTCATGGACACAGATTTGGTTAGTGGTAAAGCTGACTTGCTAGCTACACATTTTTAATTCTGTTTGTTAATGAATAATGAACTCCAAGATTTTTGGAGGTGGTCTCTGGTCATCTCCTTCTTCAGTTTTAGCCTTGCAGAGTCACACTGGCCCTGTGTGGTTTGTTGTACTTGACTCTTAAAGATACAGGAGTTTCTAGAAGGGGACACCACTACAGTCTCTCCCAATACACCCAGGACCCTCAATGCCTGTCACCAGATCCCCTTCTCCCTACCCCTTCCAGGCAACATGGCAATGAAGGACAGCACCTTTTCTGGGAAAAGGCTGACTCTGGTGTGTCACTTAAGAACACACTCATAGTGGCTCTGGTAGGGCTATGATGTGACTCAGCTGTCTCAACTCTGTTTTTGTCATAGGAAGAAACTCAGAACTGAACGTCTAGCCTTTTCTTTGGAAGTACTGTAAGATGGTAAGCATGGATTTCAAAGCAAACTGGGGAAGAAAGTAAATCATTCCAGTAAAACAACTTTAGGAGATCCTAAAGTGGGATAAGTAGGAGTTTCTCTCACAGGTAGGTTGTAAGGATGAACTAAAAGTATGTATGCCACACGCTCAGTGAAATATTTGATTTTAGATACACTTATTAAATGAATGGTAGCGAATGACACTTTGCAGTCTTTGGTTGCTTTTGGGAACCCTCATTGCTTGCTAATGAGATGCCTGTTCATCTCAGATGGAGCATTTGCCTGCTCTGGCAAATCCTCTCATTCAGTGGGGGTGATTAGACTCATGAATAGTGAGCCTGAGTGACAATACAGAATTGATCTCTGACAGGAGACACACATTCCTAAGCAAACAGTCACCCCTCAGTAGAGAACATCTCATTTAGTGATAATGATGCTAACTAATCTACCAGCCTCATTCGATTAAAATAAAATCTCAGTTCTATTGTTTAGCTTTGTGGGGTCTGTGCATATGCATGTGTAGAATAAAGCCACCGTAAATATCTGTTTAGAGCTTATGTAATTAACCAAACCAAACAGCACTTTTGACTTTAAGGCTATTTTGAGTCCTTCAGAATACTCATGAAAACACTGAAAAAAGGGAAACAAATAAAAGGTCAACTTACAAAGTCTCTAGACTGTGGAGCCCATCAAAGCATTTCTTTCCCAGGGAGTGGATTCTATTATTATGGAGATGCCTGCAAAAGAACATTACAGACAGCCATGAAGGCTCACAGAAACTTAAGCGCAACATCATTTAGATCCCTTAAATTCAAGGAAACTTGTACCCAACGAATGCCCTGACTATATGCAAGAAGACATGCTCTGTTTAACTTTTTAAAAATGGTCTTAAGCTCTTTCACTCTTAATGTGGAGTCTACTTCAGACTGTAATAGGCAATTACAGAGTTTTACCGTTCGGGTTTGAGATATCAGCGAGTATATAATAACCTGAACAACGTGGCTGACGGAAGAAAATTCATGTTGTTCAGTCTAGTTTTGGGATTGGGATGTGAAACAGAGATATTGATCATCATTGAAAATGGAGCACGGAGGTGAGCATTTTCTATTAAATCTGATGCATTAAAATGGCTTCATCCCTAAAGTCAGGACACAGACTAACAGAAAACAATCACTTCAGCTGCAGATAATGGTGGCCAGATTTTTTTAGCTGCCCAAAGAGATGAGCTCTCTTGACACAGACTTGATGTGTGTAATTGTCATCTTTGGCTCAATGATAAATCATTCATGTCAGAGCCAGTGAAAATGGCTGCATAACATTGAAAACTGGACCCAATCCCAAAGGGACTTATCCAAAATGGATTTATCAAAATGGTGAAAGAGTAGCTAAATCTCTAAAAATCTGTTCCCTCTAGTGGAAGAAAATATTAAAGCACCTACCCAGTTATGGTAGGTCTGTAGCAGGATCTTTCCATGTGAGATTCAGCTTAGAAATTTGTGAAGAGTGCCACAAATTTCTTATCCTTCCAGACTAATTTTTTTTAATTCTATGAAATAAATATTGTTTTCATGTGAGAGCTATGTGACATTTATTGAGGATCTTTTCTAACACACGGAAAAGATGCTGCAGGGAATTGAAAATAATGGCTAAGATTGAGGCCAGCCCTAGAGGAATAAATACGACAGTGCAAGAGACAAGTCAAGTGGAATAATGAAAGGTAGCCATGGGCCAGTAGGCAGACAAGGAGTGAAGGAGAAGTAAGGCAGGAATCTGTCAAGGAGCTTCTGATTTCCCCTATCAGCTTGTTTGACTATTGGATGCATGGGGGCATATTCTGACCCTCCTTATTTACTGCATTTCTCCCCCTGGGTATTGCACCCACTGACTCACATAATTAAGATGAAGTGTTCTACTGCTAAGCTACATCCCTGGTCCCTTGTATTGCTACACCCTTCAATGGTAACTTGAAAATCATTTGATTTATAAAATAATAAAAGTTAAAACCATTTGGAGTGGAGGGATGGATACCATACAAAGGCATTTGGGTTCTCTTTCCTTGGTAGGGATTCAAGAAGGTCAACAGTAATAAAGGCATATTTCAATTTGGCCTGAATTATAAATTATTATCAGAAACAAAGTATTTTTACTCACTTGGGTCACTGTACTGTCGTACAATGTGGCAATTACTTATATACTATACAATGGGCTTCACTAGGGAGAGTTCATATTTCATTATTTTTGACAGTCCAACAACGTTTGGCACTTTACGGTACTCTGTAAATGTGATTTAATTCTCGAATACATTAAAACATGTATGAGTCATGTTGGAAGGGGCCCAAGGGTGACCTCCCTTAAAGTGTACCTGTTGAAGTTTTTGAGGGGCTAGTACTATAAGCCCAGTGATAGCACAGTGATAGCACAGCCGTAGAGCGTTTGCCTTGCGCACGACCAGCCTGGCTGAACTGGGTTCAATTCTTCTGCCCCTCTTGGAGAGCCTGGAAAGCTACCGAGAGTCTCTTGCCCGCACAACAAAGCCTAGCAAGCTTCCTGTGATGTATTTGATATGCCAAACATAGTAACAACAAGTCTCACAATGGAGACGTTACTGGGCCCGCTTGAGCAACTCGATGAACAATGGGAGGACAGTGCTACAGTGCTACAGTACTATAAGGTCAATGGTTTATAGTGAATTTAGAACTGAGAGAGAGAGAGAGAGAGAGACAGAGACAGAGACAGAGAAGAGAGAAGAGAGAGAAGAGAGAGAGAGGGAGAGAGAGAGAGAGAAGGAGAGAAAGATCAATGATCAATAAAACTTACAGAACTACCAAGCTGGAGAGGTTTCCAAAGGCATAGTCTGGTATGTGGTGTATTTTGTTCAGGGCCAAGGTCATGGCCTGCAATGCTGATAAACTTCTGAAAGCTTGGACAGGGATTTCGGTCAAAGCGTTGTCATCCAGCCACAGGTGTCTCAGGGAATGCAGGCCACTGAAACAACTTGGGGGAACATAGCTGATGTGGTTGGCATCCAGACGCCTGGGGAAGAAAACAAGTAAGAATGGAAAAAGGAGCGAGGCCCAGGCAAGAGGTGGGCCTGGCAAAACATCCCTCAGTATGTTGATTGACAGGAGTGGAAGAAGGCGTGGGCCTGGGCTGAATCCTTTGACATCTGGAGGATTTTGCACTTGGTAGAAGCAGAACCATGGCTTCTTAAGTCCCCTTGGCTGTAAAATTCCACGATGCTATGATTCTCTTCCAAGCTTGTGGGTAACATGCTTTCCTGCACGCAAGTGGCCTCCCCCGGGGTATAAAGTTTCAGGGTGATGATCTTTTAGCTTTCTTTTCTGACACCAAGAGAAAGACACCCTCCGTCCCCCCCGCCACCCCATGCCAAATATATGTCTTTGCTTTCCTGGATTGTTTTGAACACACTAAACATGCTAATCTACTAGTTTGTTCATTCCACTCTGGGAAAAGACTATTTCTGGAATTGTCTATTAGAGAAGGCCTGACTAATTTTTAAAGGCTGTTAGAAATAGCCACAGGGAGAGGAGAGCCAGACCCTCCCTTTCTTACTTGAGACAGTGTTGAAAACCTTAAAAACTACTGGCGTTTTTGCTCATCCTGACCATTTTTGTTGGTCTGATACTTGTTTTTCCTGACATTTTAAATGAATAATAAAATTAACAGCTTTCCCGGTTTTTGCTTCCTTTCCCCACTCACCACTTTTTTTTTTTTTAGTGGGGGAATACATCTAAAAATAGGTCTGGTTAGTGAGCTGCTATAGTTTCAAAGCCAGCAGAGGGAGTGCATGACATTTAATTTGCCTTAATTCAACCTAAATTATAGCTATCTGACAACACCTCAGCTATTTTTTTTTAATTCAAGGGAACCTACACAGGCAAATTGCAATTTTGAGTAATGTGCATGAATAGTAGGACCCCCATCTCAGCTATGCTCGACACAGTTCTTATTTTTTCCCCCCCGAAATCTGTTCTTAAGATTCACACATTTGTTTGCATTGGCACAACTAAGATTGAAAAGCAGAAGAGTTGCAGTTCATGCATGAGCAAGGATTAGAAAATCATGAGTGGATTTTCAAAAAAATGTTTTAGGAACCTTATAAAACTAAACAGAATCAGGAAGAACACTAGGATCCCAAAATAATTTCCTGCAAACCAAATTTAAACAATTTAGAAATAAAGAGAATTCTCTGTTGTGAGGTATCATTTCGATGCCAAGAGGCTTCCTGACATTGGTCACCTACATCACTCCACTCTCCTCTGACTCCTATTTCCATAAATCAAATGGGGCATAAATGAGTCCTTCAAGACATGGCCAAGTTTTGATCATGAGATAAGGTCTCTTGGAACAAACTTTAAGTGTTCAGTGCACTCAGTCGAATTTCTAGTAGAATACTGATCAGTGTAGAAAGCAGAAACACTGCTTCCAAATATCTCAAGATTCTGTCAACAAATGGAGCTGGAAATGCCATGAAAACTCAACACCATTTCTCTGTCTCCAGTGACAACAGGCTCGGTCCATGTTCAAATAGGGTATAATTTCATTGGGGGTGGAGGAGGGAGGAGGTGATTATTTTTGTTTGATGAGGTAAAGCACATATGTAAACTCTCCTTAACGATCACACTGATTAAAGAATGAAGACTTTATTTAAATAATATGTGCTTCCGTGTTTCAGTTGACATGTTGTCTGATTACTGCCAGTTGCTTATGCATTCAAGCTCCAAGTGGCTTCTATGCGTTTCAGCAATGACCACCCTCAAAGTTCAGTGTGAATGCTGGGACTCAGAGATAGAAAAGGCTCCTTTAGTATCATGTCACGGGCTGGTCTTCCATAGTTAAACAACCACCACCAAAGATTTAGCTGTTTCTTAAAGCAAACTGGGCATCAGTTTCCAAGGCAACTCAGTTCATTTCCCTAGATGGGTGGTTTATAACACTGCCTCCTTGTCCCCCCCCACCCCCCAGCCCCACCTCAAAGGATGCCATCTGCCTCTTCAATGTCCTCTCAGATCAATTTGCTATCTAAAATGAAATGAATTGGACTATCCAAGTGCTAGAAAAATTAATACTCTCATACATTATGTTTGGATACCCAAAGTGCAACATTAAAATGTCTCTGTCTAGGGGCTGGAGTGATAGCACAGCGGATAGTGTGTTTGCCTTGCATGAGGCAGACCCGGGTTCTATTTCCAGCATCCCATATGGTTCCCCGAGCACCGCCAGGGGTAATTCCTGAGTGCAGAGCCAGGAGTAACCCCTGAGCATCACCGGGTGTGACCCAAAAAAGCAAAAAAAAAATCTGTCTAGTTTGTTTCTTCACATAAGAGGTAAATGAGATTATTTCTAAGTGCGGTGTTGAAGTTCATGGTCACCTATTCTTAGTGGTTCAAGCTTCACTCAGAATGGTATATACTGTTCGTCCTCAAAGGCATTAGTTCACCTAATCTTAACAGAAGATCCCAGGGCAAGATTGGCACATGGGGTTAATTACCCAGCCCTCATATAGGTAGTTCATAGGACCATGGTTCACACTATATGCAAAGGAGCTGGCAGGGCCTATGTCGGATCTAGTCATTAAACAAGAGCTTAGAATTTGGACTTGGGCCACACCTGGTAGAGTTTGCCAATCTACTTCTGTGTTTTCCTTTATTTTGGGGGTGCCCCCCAAATAGTTTGTTTTTTTTTGTATGCTCAGGGCTCCGTTCTAGGTAATACTTGCCCAACCAGACTAGTGATTTAGTGCTAGGCCCAAGGATGGGATGTTGCTCGACTCTGCAATGCCAGGGACCATCAAAACCTTAGCCAACAGCATTTGACAAACTGGAAAATTTCTTTTCATCTTTTGGAAAATACAGCACTTAAGCAATGAGGCTAAGGGAAACATCTCTATATGAAAGAAAAACAGTACATGAAAACACAAAGTCTATTACTAAAAAGGTAAAGGCCCTCCCGTTGATCGTCGATTTGCTCGAGCGGGCCCAGTAACGTCTCCATTGGAGACTTTGTTGTTACTGTGTCTGGCATATCGAATACGCTCGGTAGCTTGCCGGACTCTCCGAGAGGGGCGGAGGAATCGAACTCGGGTCGGCCATTTTGGCCGCTTGTAAGGCGAACGCCCTACCTGCTGTGCTATTGCTCCAGCCCCCAACTAGAAGAAATAATTAACTAGTTTACTATATAGGTTTTTTTTTTTGTTTTGTTTTTGGGGTCACATCCGGTGTTGCTCAGGGTTACACTGGCTCTGAACTCAAGAATTACCCCTGGCAGTGCTCAGGGGACTGTATGGGATGCTGGGAATCGAACCTAGGTCGACTGCATGCAAGACAAAAATGCTCTACCCACTGTGCTATTGCTCCAGCTCCCACCATATAGCTTTAAAAGTAAAGCTTTATCAGTGTTTATTTTTTTCTATTTCATGCAGATGTCATAGGGTGTGTGTATGGGAGTGGGGGACAGACCATTATCTGTGAACTAGCATTAAGATTTGAAATGGTAAGTCTCAGGTTCAAGTCACTGTCATAGATGTCACAGACCTCAGCTGTGAGACCTCAGCCTTCATTCTGTATAATGAGGATAATACTTCTCTATCTTACTTAGATTAAAGGAAATAACACAAGAGGGCTCTGTAAACTATAAAGACTCCTGAATATTTGAAATTGGTATTATTTGAATTTGATTAAAAGTTGTTTTTACAAGGACTGGGAAGACTGGTCCACGTTTGGAAGCTTGTCACAGGTGGGGAGGTAATGAAGGAACTACAGTGACAATGGTAGTTGGAAATGATCACTCTGGATGAGAAGTGAGTCCTAAAAGTAGGTAAAGGGATATACAGGATAACCTATCAGTACCTGTATTGCAAACCAAAGTGCTCAAAAGGAAAGAGAGAGAAAGAGGGAGAGAAAGAGAAAGAGAGAGAGAGAGAATAAACTCAAATTTTAATTTGCTCAAAATTTACTTAGATGAGTGCTGAGATCCCAGGGGAAGGAGGGGAGAAGTGGAAAGGCTGGAGAGAAACTCCAGAGGAGGTGGAGGGATGGCACTTGGTGTTGAGTACAGGCAGGGAACATACTTGAAATGACGTGCGATTTTAAAACCAATGTTACTTCAGTAAAAAATGAGTCTAGATTAAAAAGAATAAAATGAGGCCTCAGTGGTTATTGAATTTCAGTTTGAAGAAATACAGGCTAATTCTCTCATGCCTCAAAGCAGAAATAAAGAAGCTTCTTAGAAATCACCTCCTTTTTTTGCAAGCTTTAGTGTCATTATGTGTTTATCTTACAAAGACCTGTCAGTTTTGTTCCCGATATCTTACTAATCATGCCATCTTCATTATGAAAGCACAAAAGTGGTGACGTGAGGGAGAACACATTCTCAGAGAATGTTCTAGTAATGATCCTGGCAATTAAGCATCCATCAATAATATGACAGAGGCAGACCTAAACCTGCCTACAGTTATTGTAGCAAAACAAAGCATTTGAGCAATGGGAGTGGCCTTACCTTCATTCGCACAAATAAAAGCTCTTAATTATGATGTTGAAATGCAATCTGAAAAATATCATTAAACGGGAAATGGTACCTGTTTTATGCTCCTCATGTTACTCATAATTGATGACAAAGTGATAAAATAAATATGTACCCCACTTCCTATGCTGTCTATAGCCACATAACTGAAGGATGTATAATAAACTGGAAAGTAAGCTAAATTAGGAGAGTTGAATCAACAGTTTATGCTAAACTTGGCCACTTAGTTAAATCTGAAATATATGGGAATGTTGATTCATTTTCTTGGAGGGGCAATTTTTCCACACCTGTAAAGATGAATCACAACTCATCACATAATTGCTGTGGGAATTAAGTGAAAAGATTATGTAGACTGTCGTGTGAACAGTAAAGCATTCTACATGCAATAGGCTTTGTTATTTAAGGAAAATCTTCATACTTAGGAAAAATTATATTACCCCAAGCTCCCTAAACTAATCATCTGGTTCTTCTGGAAGTTTCTTGAACCTTTA